CTACACCCTCCTTTCAGGGAGTTGGAGAGAGCAATAAGGTCTCCCCTCAGCCTCCTCTTCTCCAGGCTGAACACCCCCAGGTCCCTCAGCCTCTCCTCATAAGACTTATTCTCCAGACCCCTCACCATCTTTGTTGCCCTTCTCTGGACCCGCTCCAGCACCTCAATGTCTTTTTTATGGTAGGGGGCCCAAAACTGGACACAGTACTCAAGGTGCATGAACATTAGTGCATGAACACAGCACACTGTGGAGCTCTAACGACTGCTGAGAACGTTGTGTTGATTTTTCTGCAGCTTAATGAGTGCTCAGAGCAGCACTGGCTTGTGGAGAAGCTGGGCTCACCACTGACACACTACGTAGGAACCCAGAATTTCAAGGTACTGAGCCAGTTTCAAAAAATCTCCCAAACCCAGGCTGAGGGCGGGCGACAGCCTGTTCCCTCACCTGGTGGTGGACGCGTGCGCGATGATGTTTCCTCCGATGGGTTTTTTGGGATCGGCAGCGAACATGGCTGCTCCGTCCACCTGGGCCACCACTTGGTTGGTGATCACCACCGCCACCCCGAACTGCGGGCAGAGAAACCACTCAACATGCATTTATTGTCCACAAGCTGAACAAAGCAGGGGGGAAAATGAAGAAAAGAAGAAAAAAAGGAGAGAGTGCCATGCATGCAGAGAAAGTCGTTTGTGGAAAATTGCCAAGAGAAAGACTTTACAAGAGAAAGAAACCCCATCACAGGAGAATAAAGCCAAGCTCTGTGTTTACCTCGTCCGCCAGCCGAAGCAGCATTCGCAGGAACCTGGCCAGGTGCATCTGCCTGGCCGAGAGCTCGCCTCTGCCCGAGTAATCCGTGCGGTACAGGGCCGTGGCACTGTCCACGATCAGCAGGGCATACCTGCAGAGGAGAAGCACCAGGCTCCCAGGAACATTCCCAGCAGGAATAACGCCTCCCCCGGAGCGTGGCAGCGCCCCGCCAGCAGAAAAGCTGCACACTTTTGGAAGTGTAAGCACCTCCCACCCACCAGTCAGCAGAATTGTTGTTTTTCACAACACTGACTTGATCTGTAAGCTTCAGGTTACTGACTGTGCAGTAAAACCCAGAGAAAGCTGCTGCATGATTAAAAACTTAGGTGAATTATACCCTTATAAACTAGCCCAAACTCCAACGATTTCTGCAGACAGGTTCCTAAACACCTCGTGCCACCACCTCCTTCCCCCCCAGGGGCCCCTAAATCCTAGTTTCCAGCTACTGCTGTCCACACAGGTTTCCTCAGCACGCTCTACATCCACACTTCAGTTCTGACAGCAACTATAAACTGAGTGTTGGAATTGTTTCTCAGGCTGGCACGGGCTCTTTGCAAAGTCCCTTCAGCTGTCGTGGCTCAGGTGAGTCGCTGCCATCCCACCTGCCAGCAGCACGAGGTGTGGACTGACAGCCCACCGTGCGGCCACCAGCTGGTTACTGGGACAGGCCAGGGCATGACCAATTTTGAGAACAGCAAAACCTGGTCTCATGGAGCCGAGCACTGACGTATATTTCAAAAAAAAGTTGACTTTTGAGGTAAACATTTACTTTGACATCTCACAATCTTGTATTCTATACTCCACTTGCATTTGTCCATCATCTACAGGCGGCTCTATAACATGGCTCTGTATGGGCACAAACCCCACCCCACCTCATCAGCCTAATTACCGGGATTCAGCCATCATGGCCGAGGCCTGGTACAGCAGCTGGGTCTGATGGTCCGTGTTAAAGCCCCGGGCGTACGCCACGTTATCCAGGACATCGCTGCCAGACAGGCCATACCTGGGGAAATCAGGGAGGAACAAGGACATCTTAGTGACAACGTCCTCAATTGGCATTATCTGGCAGGTTTTAAAGGCTGGAATTGAAACTCACACTCCTGGGAGAGTCTGAGATAAGAACAGGCAGCAAAAAATACAACACAACTTGGTGATGAAAAGAGAACAGAACAATTGAAGATCATTTTTCAAATAATTATTTCCCTGCCTAGGAACAGTGTGACGTAGGATACCAGACATTTTCCTCAAAAGCTCCCATTCTGGAACAGAATATTCCAAAAGCAGTGTATTGCTAATAAAACCAGTGACAAACAGCCTTCCCCCACCCGCAATACTTTTGTCAGTGTTTTACTACCAAAATAATAATAATAAAAAAAGATATTCACATCCAACATCTTAAATTATTTGTATGGTGCTTTGAGAAATCCCTTGGAATTTGGAGAACCAGTTGGTTGGTTGCCTCCTTGGATCTGAACTATACTGATATTTTTTTTTCTGATGAGGGAGAACGTACATAAATTGTTCTCATTTCTCCCTTCACACTGAGGATATTTCCCAGCCCCTGGGGCTGGAAGGGGTCTCTGCAGATCTCCCAGTCCGACCCCGTGGCTGCAGGGTGCTCAGGACTGTGTCCAGGTGGATCTGAACATCCTGAAGGACAGAGCCTCCACCCCCTCTCCAGGCAACCTGTTCTCATGGTTGGCCACACTAAAACCCTTTCTGGCTACCTTTTGTGTACCTGTCCCACTTTCAGCTGGGAGAGAGATCATTTTCTTCCCAGCAGCCACTGTGTTTTGGATTTATATGAGAATAGTGCTGATAACGTGTTATTGTAGTTGTTGCTAAGTGATGTTTACATTTTTGTGTACCTGTCCCACTTTCAGCTGGGAGAAAGATCATTTTCTTCCCAGCAGCCACCGTGTTTTGGATTTGGTATGAGAATAGCACTGAAAACATGTATTATTTTAGTTGTTGCTAAGTGATGTTTACATTAGTCAAGGACTTTTCCAGCTTCCCAGGGAAGCCGAGAGGAAGCACAGACGGGACACGCCAGGCAGAGGAATAATGCAGTCCACAGCCATCACACCCAGTAAATAAAGGGATAAACCAGTATACAAAGGGATGGAGCTGACTGGAAGGCACACTCTCCACATACAGCCACGCTCAGGTACCCTCTTCCAGACCTGTTATCACTGCAAACACCATTTCACTTCTCGTGGGTGCCCAGGAGGTTTTTGCTGCCAAATACCCCCTGGTGACAGGGAATGTGGGAGCACCTCCCCGCTCCCAGCAGGAAAAGCCAGCAGGGTTACAGCAAATTGCCTTTAAAGAGAGTGAAGGGGATTTAGTGTCCCCAGAGGATTAGGGAGCACACATTCCCTTCCAGTAGCAGAAACCGAGGGAAATTACTCCCTGCAGAGGGACAATTGCTCCATAGCTGTGGGGAGAGAGCAGCAGCAGGGAGAGAGGAGTAGTAATACCAGATGTTTCCAAAGTGAACATCTGTCAAATTAACCCCTAGGACCTGTGTAAAATGTCATCCAAAGATTATTTTTTTTTTTTGGCCTTTCAGTAACAAACCATCCAAATCCAGCATCGAGGCCAATCTTCAGCTTACTATTTTTCAGTATTTGACTGCCCTTCCCCCATTTAGATCCCATGTGTCAGTGAGATCTCCTCCCCCCAGGAAGGGAAGGCAGCAGCCCTGGTGGGCCAGCATGTCATATTGGGGTGGGATTATGTCTTACTTGATTTTTTCTACCAGCAGTCATGGAAAGGCCCATAAACACTGGTCTGACTTCATAAATCTGAGGTGCTGCTAAAAAGCAGCAGTCCTACCCTTTCATTCTCTCCATTTCCAGCTGGTTGTTCTTGTTCCCCCTTCACACCAACAATTGATGCTGTGCTGCAGTGAACCCCACGAGCCACCGCTCTGCTTCAGCCCACGCCTACAGCCACCGGTGCCAACAGCCCGGGGCAAAAGGAACAGCAGGACCACCTGCAGCACCACAGAATCCACCCAAATTAAACAGAATTAAACCTTAGGTTCCTGCCCCGTGCAGCCCGTTGGCTGTGCAGCACAGTATTACAAAGCAGACACACTGTGCAGCACAGGGAAGGCAGGTTTGCCCACCACGTCTCATGGGGTCTTGGCAAAAAAAGAGCTTCATGGAAACAATACATGCCAAGGAATGACAAAGGGCAAAACCAAAGAAACTTTAGAGAAAACATCTATAATGATAGGCCAGGCCTTGAAGTGAAGGAAAAACAGTCACTTGGCAATTAAATCTTGCTTCTGTAAGTGCGCAGTAAAAAAATAGGAGAACAGTTGCTTTTTAAGCCAGGAAATTTGTAGAAAAGTTTTAAAAACACTTTTTAAAAAAACCCCACATGTGCAGCCTGAAAACATATGAACCTAAATCAGACCAGCAAAAGTGTGGTAGAAAACAGGCCAATTGATTTTATCTTTGCAGAACATCTGAACCTCTGCCTCCAAACCAGCCCAGCACCAGCAGCACAGCTTTCTGGTGACAGCTCTCAGCAGCACCTCAGTGGCAGCAAAAATAAGGAAAACAAATACTTCAACCAAGTTCACTGAAGTTGCGTATAAACCTTGATATTTAATTGAAACAATAATCATGGAAAATTAAGCCCCACAGAAGCAGTTTCAAGAAAGCCTGAAGTATCACAAGAGCAGAGTAACTCCTTTTTCTAACATACAGAACCAGGCTTTTAAATCTACCCAGAATCTCTCTATAGACAGCGGAATTTTTACTTTTCAATTGGTATTAAAAAAACCACATCAGAACATTCTGAGGTAGAGGCAGGAGATGAGAAGACAGCTCCTCAACTGCTCAGTGGGTGCTCTTGTATTTCCTAACAAAAATGTTCTGGCTGCTGTTGCGATAACCTTTTTACCAAAGAATCTTCATTTCAAGGGAACACTATTGGCAGAATTTAAGAAAACTCCTTGAATGTGTTTCACTAAGAGTAAAGCTGAATTTGAAAGTGACACTAGTAAGAAGCTAAGAGTAAATAGTCCAGGGTTAGCTACTGTCATAGCTAAGTAAAACTAGAAACTGTGTATAAAATACAGCTAATGAAGCAGTCTGACATGCAGGCAGGCAGGCAACTAGAATACATTGGTGTTTTTCGGGACAGTTCCACGATTTAAGGAGACATGCTGAGTTACACACTGATCCTTATTAAGTAACCAAGTTGTTCTGTGGGTTTTCCTTTCTTCCACTAACACCCGTTCTCTGCCAGCCCCAGTACAGACCTTTCAGCCACAGCCAGCAGACGCTCGGGGCGGAAGGTCCCCTCTGTGTCAATGTACATCGCTTTTCCCTCTCCACCGCCGCGGTCAATGGGGAGCTAAAGGGAAAGCAAAGGAATGAACATGAAATAAAGTATAAAATAATCCACTTACTGCCTTATGCTCTCACCTGATAAAAAACATACCAACCTACTGTGATTAAAGTCACATTTATCTGGGAAAAGTGGGAAGACAGACTCCTTTTTTCAATCTCTAATAGTGACACAAAAGGACAGGTGCTTAACTGGGAACTGGTAAATTTAAACTAAGATTAGGGAAAAAAAGGTTCCTCCAAACTGATCTACTGTTTGATAGCAACAACAGCTGAAGGCTTTTGCAAGAGTAACATAAAGTAAGCTCAGGATACGTTTGGAAAAAAAAGCAGCTAGTCAAGGAAACTCGTTGGACCAACCCAGTTTCTTCTCCCTTTTCAAGACTCTTGGTGACCAGAAAGTTTCTTTTTAGCCCAGAGAGCCTGAAGAGAGATCAAATGCTTCTCAGCATTTATGACTAGAATTATGCTGCAGGCCTAATGTCTTAAACGTTGTCAGAATAGTGAGGAGGGGAAAAAAAAAGCTACAGAACATGTCAAACACAGGTAAAAACCATCACAAACGTAACGGCTCCTAAAGCAACCCTGGTAGGCAGGTTAGCACCAAACAACACATCCTGCAAGTACAGCCAAGGGTCCTGCAGATGCTCCCCTTCTTCATGTGCACCACATCCCCAGGGGCTGAGAAAGGTGCACAAAGTAGCAAATATCCAAACCCTGTGCTGTCTGAACACTTGATTTTAATCAGGTGGGACTACTCACTTGACAGGTCACTGCCAGGGTGTGACACAACTGTGTTTTTCCAGTACGGAACTCCCCGAACAGCTCTGTTATAGACCCCGTTTCTATTCCTCCTAAAGGGAAAATAATAATAATAATGACAATAAAATAATTTTTTAAAGATCACATACTTCAAAGACCACATATAAGTATTAGAGGCTCAGTTAAACACTTCCTTTGGTTAAAAGTTTCACAACTCTAATTGGAAAAGCTGGTTTTCATACTGAGGGCTGTTCATGTTGCAGATAAGAAGTTTAGGTAAGTACATTTTTGAAGATGCTGAAAAGCTGCAACGACTTGTTTTTGATCACCAATAGGAATGGGGAGAAGATGAGACCTGGCTTTGTTTCCTTGAAATAGGTCATAAACTAGAAATATCCAAAATGAACAGCTCTGAGTATTGCATTATGACCAAAAGGTTTTAAAATTATTCCTTCAGCTTTTAAAAGGAAATCAGTTGTGATACAATAAAACAGAACTTTTTAGTTCAACCACAACCTGGTGTGTCTTAGGTGGTTTTGTGCAGTGATTGTGTTCATAATAAAGAAAAAAAAGCAGCAGATAACTAAGGCTAATCAATGCAGAGAAATAAAATGATTACCTTGCAGAAGCTTATCGAGTTCTTTGGAGCCAGTGGTGATCTGGATGATCTCTGACCTTCGCTGGTGGAACTCCGTCGCGGTGGTGAAACCCATGGGAACCAGTTTAGCTGCTTCAGCCTGAAGAAACCCAAACTCAGCAGTGCCAGGAGAGTTCACCCCGGTCAGTTACCCCCTCTGCTAATTAATACATCATTTTCTATGTTGTGAAATGGAAAAGCAACTATTTAATGTGATGCATACATTTTATAGACCATCTATTAGCTGGTGGTACCTCTGAACAGAAAAAGAAAAAAGCTGAAACCACCATTTTGTGTATTTTATGGAAATCTTCCCCCTCCTCATCTCCCACCCTTTTAGTTCAGTTCTGTTGTGAAACTTGAAATACTCCAGATGGACACACAGCCTGTTAGGAACAACTGTCCTAACAGTGAATAAATGTGCAAAGTAGGAAAAGTATTGGAGCTAAACATTGTGCTGGGTCAGATTTTGATAAATGAGCAGCAGTTTGGCAGGAACTCCCCATTCTGAGCTCAAAGATGCTGTGAGGTTACTACTCAGGCTGTGGTCTCAGCTCCCAAAAGTAGACCCCAGGTGTGACGGTGAATTTGTCTGAGGTACACAATTAACATGCTTAAAAACATAACAAAAAGAGCTGCACTGGGTCAGCCCTGTTGTTCATAACACAGAATCCTCTGCCCTGACAGCTGCCAAAAGTGGAGGCTTCAGGAAAGAGCGTAACACACCAGGGAATGAGGGACTGACCCTGCAGGTTCAGAGAACAAGGCTCCTGATCCAAACACCACCCCACAAACATTGCACTCAGCCCCTTTTTAAGCCAATTTAGGCAACAGAAGCCACAGTATCTTGTGACAAGGAGTTCCACAGCTTAATTGCGTATTTTCCACACCTTCCAAGATTTTTATAGACCTTCCTAACAGACCCTCCCTCTTCACTTCTTGAACCTGCTCCTAGTGGGTTTTGTCTCTTCTTACCAAGAGTCACGTCATAGCTCTGATCATCTTTACTCAGTATGTCCTTAACAGAGCCTTCCAAAATCACCAGAACACTTTAAGCCAGCAGAAATAAAACTTCTGGAATATCTTGGGTTAAAGCTTTTCCATAAGCCCCTTACCAAGATTTTGTCAGCTTTGGCTTCACTGATGCCTTTAATATTTAGTAGCTCCTTCTTGGGTGCATAAGCAACAGCCTCAACGGTGTGAAATCCAGCTTCTTCCAATTTCTTCACGTCATTTGCATTTATACCACATTGCTGCGAGGCAGGGAGAGGAAAAGGACACACTAAGACACAAATACCTTAATCTAACTTCTGCTGAGTACCTTCAATTGCCTTCACCAGATGGGGATCAAACTCTCTGACTACAAGTCAGCATACGGAGTGATACCTCCCTATTCACTATATAGCATATAATGCTAAATCCCATCAAAAATAGTGTCCTTTTACCAGTGTAACGTTTGTGTAAGCTGTTAACTCTAGAGATGGCAGAGAACAGGCAGATGGCATCATTCCCTGCTGGGTTAATAGATGCTGGAGGTGACCAATACATGTTAGGGAAGTCGTAACATGAAACACAGCTGTTAGCACGTTGCTTTTTTGTTTGGGGTTTTTTTTTTACAGAAGACAAGACTTGAGTAATGAGGTTTTCAGATACAACTTGTGTTTAAGGAAAAAGAGGAGCAGATTTCTTGAGAACTCACCCTAGAGCTAAGTCTGTACCCACCTCTAAGCGAGCTATGAGCTGTGGCCCAAAGCTCTCCTCCTCTGCTGACGTGTCTGCGGTGGCTTCCAGCATCGCCATCGCTCCGGGCACTCGGCACAACCCCACTGGAAGAAAAAACCAAGAAACTCTTGAGACGCAACAGACACCATCCAAACAAGATAGAGGTGCCAAGTGTTTCCCAGTGCAGTAACAGATCATTCCTCCCCTCCTTTATCTCTCAGCTTGTGGTACGAGTGCTGTAAGAAATGGCTGTGAGGGTGGTGAGAGCCTGGCCCAGGTTGGCCAGAGAAGCTGTGGCTGCCCCATCCCTGGAGGGGTTCAGGGCCAGGTTGGATGGGGCTTGGAGCACCCTGGTCTGGTGGGAGGTGTCCCTGCCCAGGGCAGGGGGTGGCACTTAAGACCCTTCCCACCCAAACCGCTCTGTGATTCTATGATCTCTTGTGTGCTCTCCTACGTAGTATTAAACATTAATAATGCTTTGGCAGGGGGTTGGATTAGACGATCTCCAGAGGTCCCTTCCAACCCCATGTGATTCTGTGATTAAAACCAAAACAAACCAAACAACTGTTGTTCCAGCTGGTGAGTGATAATAAGAGGGGCTTAACAGAGAGCTCCACCGGATTTGGGTGTATAATATAACAAAATTAACTTGCTATAAGCAGTATCTCATTTCAGCAAGGTTACTTGGTCCCATTAGAAGATGTTTTACACGAGACTGGCATCAATGCTCCGGCCTGGCTGTGCCTATGAGACTGCCCTCAGGACAACCACAACGCCAGCACCTTGTGGGGCTGGGAAGGGGCTCTGGGTCCTCCCTGGGGACCCTGGTGACACCGCCAGGCGCCTGTGCCACCCTCCCCAGCACCACGGGGCCACGGGCAGCTGAAAGGGACAAAGAAATGCCCACTTATATATCACAGAATCACAGAATCTTCTAGGTTGGAAGGGACCTTAAAGATCATCTTGTCCAACCGTCAACCTGACTGACAAAAATAGACACCCACACAACAAACAAGGATCATCACTAAACCAGACCTCCCAGCACTACATCAACCCGGCTTTTGAACACCTCCAGGGATGGGGCCTCCACCACCTCCCTGGGCAGCCCATTCCAATGCCTGAGAACCCTTTCAGTGAAAAAATGTTTCCTAATATCCAGCCTGAACCTCCCCTGGTGCCATTTCCTCTCGTCCTGTCGCCTGTGACTTGAGAGAAGAGACCGACCCCCACCTCGCTACACCCTCCTTTCAGGGAGTTGGAGAGAGCAATAAGGTCTCCCCTCAGCCTCCTCTTCTCCAGGCTGAACCCCCCCAGCTCCCTCAGCCTCTCCTCATAAGACTTATTCTCCAGACCCCTCCCCAGCTTTGTCGCCCTTCTCTGGACCCGCTCCAGCCCCTCGATGTCTTTTTTATGGTAGGGAGCCCAAAAATGGACACAGTACTCAAGGTGACGCCTCACCAGTGCCCAGTACAGGGGGATATATGGGTATAACGCTCCTCAGGCGGCTTCACCCAGGGGCCTGGCGGTGAAATCCCCCCCCCCCGCCGCCCAACCGGAGCAGAGGAGCCACAAGCGGCGACAGTCGCGATAGGGGACACCTCTGTCAGCCCAACATCAACCCCCCACCGCCAACCCCGCAGGCCGCA